ATTGCAAAAATAGGACAGTCTTATAAATTAAATTTCAGTTATGATGTGAAATCCTGATAATTATTCTGAACAAACCCTTTGAAGAAGCCTTGAAATAAATAATTTCGATTTAATAATCAGCTGTTGTACATTATAGTTTACGAGAATCATTATGTTTGACTGAGGGGGTACTAGTGGTATGACAAAACATCTATAGACTTACCGTAAGATTCATAAGATGGATCTTGGGCTTCACCGTGTCCATAATCATAATATTCTGTATCCCTGAAAAGAAATTGTAAAGATTAAAAAAACAAAGCACTCCCACTTTAAATACAAAATAAAGCAAAAACTTGAGTTTTAACTTACGCAGGAGCAGGCTGCTGACTGTAGTAGTTATCGTATCCTTCATAGGCAGGCTCCGCATAAGACTCTTCATATGAACCCTAGAAAGAAAAGATTGTGATGTAAGGAAAAAAAATCTTTTGTCAGAATTTATGGAAAACAAACAAAAAGGTTAAAATAAATAAATCTTACATATTCGTCATAAGCGTCAGGTTTGGGCTGCGACCCTGAAGCAACCTGCTGGTGGGACATGCCCGCAGTGGGGAGCATCCTCGGAGCCCCGGCCGCAGGTGGTCTAGAGCGAGCAGCAGATCCTCCTCGGGCAGGAGCAGAGGGTGGACCGCCCCTACCACTCGGTGCCCCTCTGGGTGCGGTGCCTCGGCCTGGTCCTCCACGTGGCGCTCCCCCTCGCACCGCTCCTCTCATGTTCCCACGTGGCATTCCCCGTCCCCTACGAAAAACAATCAAAAGTTATTTATTAAGTGGGAAAAATACTACCTCGAGAATTTAGTTGGAAACTTTTCGTGTAGCCACAATGAGAAGAATGTTCTTACCGTGGTCCTCCCGCACCAGGTGGTCCACCTCTGCCCCGTCCTAGAGCACCACGCCCCCTGCCTGAGCCATCCTGGGATCCGTTCAGGAACTGAGGGTCCATGTAAGGGTCATACTCACCTGGTTCCTGTCAAGTCAGAGACAACAAATTACTTCTACATTCAGCACATCCAGACAATAAATACAGTAACTTGTAGAAATATGTAACTTACAGGGATAAGGAACTTCTTGACCTCATCCATAGCGTGAGCCATGCGCATGTAAGCTTCTGGTATGGGTGCAGTGATCTCAATGAAAACGTGAAGCTCCATGGACAGATGAACATATTTCGCTTCACCGCTCTTCCTCAGCTCTTCTTCCTGATGGATATTTGGTAAGAAATTTAATAAACTGGCAATAAAAAGATATAAGTCAAACAACGGCTACGATCGTGATACAAACCTTATTTTTGTCCCTCATGGACCCTTTGCCCAAAACGGAGATCTTAGCCCCGGTCTCCTCCTGGAGTCTCTTGATCGTGCTGCCCTGAGGGCCCAGAAGCTTCCCGACAAAGTTGACCTGCAAGACAAGCAGCAGCGAATCCTTCAGCAGCCTTTTTAGAGCATTTCTAAAACCACAATCGCAGCCACACATCCCAGTTTTTACCATTTAGAACGCATCACTGAACAAGTGCAGAACTGTTCATGCAGACACAAGGGCACTAAGTGCATGACATCACTAATTCAGAGAAGAGCCTGCCCTTCAGATACACAGGATTAACAGGCTGGTGCGTTTATACTGGGCATGGTAATGAAAGCAAAAAATGGGCTTAGTACAAACTGTACAACACTGATCAAATCTAAACGTTTTTAAAATAGTTGGATCTGCAAGATAAAACACAGAAATAGAAACGAGTGCTCACCCTTGGGTACTGCTTGGTTGGAATGAGCACGCGCTCTTTGAGTTTCAGGTTCTTTGTGGCGAACAGGTCCAGGTAAGTCTCCTTTTCTGAGTCGGACTCCTTTTTGGTTTCACCTTTCTGGATCCTCTCGATCTCTGCAACAAAAAAAGCACATGAAGAGGAATGAATTAAACTGAGCCCGCCAAAAATAAAAATAAACCAGAAAGGAGCAAAAATATATATAAATTCAATAAATAAAAAGAAAATTAAAACAAAAACTAAAATAAATTTTTCATATTAAGTCGAAATATGAGCAGTTTATGAAAATCCAGCATTCGCAAAATGTACAAATTTACTCAAAAATTATCAGTTTACCTTAAACCACTGAAAGGGATTTTGCATGGTTACACATATTAATGCAAAACTACTAAATTAGTCATTTAAAAAGGTATAAAATACCATTATAAAACATTTTAAATGATGGATGGTTTGACCCACATCTTCTTCAACCACGTGTTTTAATGCGCCATTGTTCAGGCCTCACCATAAGGAAACCAGGCCTTCAAATTAAAACATCAAAACTCGTCTGTTAGCTCCAACAGCGCTAACCAATCCACTTTACCTGCAGTAATAAGCTTCATGGCGTGTGTGAACGACGAGTCCARGCTGTCTTTCTCAGCCAGCAGCTCCGGGAGGTATTTTGTGTCTTCCATTTTGATTTTTTTTCTTTCTTTCTGAGCTCGACTATGGCGGACTCGAGTTGCTGCTATTAGCGTTCGCTGTGTTCGAAACTGACCGCAACGATTGAGTCAAGCAACCGTTTCCTGCTCAAAGAGGTTGTTCAAAGAAAATTGACAAAAATATTTTGGAGAAAAGAACAACAGTAACCGAAATAGGTGCAGCGATCCCCGGCCGGTGTCTGTCCACGTTCGACGGTTGAGCTCTGCTCAGACAAAGAAGGAGGGATGGCGCAGCTGCATTTCAGACGGCGGGGTGTGCGTGACGTCACTTCCGGGAGGACTTAGGAAAATAATTTAGGTCGAGTTTAAAATAACTGAACGTAGGCAAGAATCATAATATTAAACATTAAAAAATCATTTTTTAAAAATAAAACGCTTGCGTTTTTTTTTTCATCTAAAGAATTTGTGTTATTTGTATGGAAGCTAATTCCAGCCAAAAAAAAAAAAAGTACAAAAAAGTATTTGAACCTCTTTTGGTTATTTGTTTTATATTTACAGCATTCTTTCTCAAAATTATGACTTAAAAGTTACTTTAAGACAGGAGTGTCAAACTCAGTTTCAAAAGGGGGGGACAAATTAAATAACTTGGTCCGAGTCAAAGGGTCAATTTCTGTCAATCTTTATTAAAAAAAACATGTTATAAAACAAATTAATCTTAGAGAAACGCAAATGACTTTTTGCCAAACTATATTTTAAGTAGTGTTTAGAACAGAACATACATTACTTAATGAAGAAAAGTTTCAATTTTAGCATTAGCATTCATTTTTGTCTTACTCTCTATCAACAACTTTTGATTTATTATTTCTAAGAGATAATGTGACCAAAATCCAGCAAATCAGTAAAGAAAAGCTCACTGAAAATCTATGACTTTTAATTAGCGCTGATTCACTGCTGCTCTTTCCACACCAACATCCAAGGTGAATGAAAATTTATTATAATTACCAGATTACAACTGTAACTATTTATAGTAACCAGACTTGATAACTTTCTGTTAATCATAATTTATTTTCTTGATTTGAAAGTTTGCCAACTATCATGAGAAAAATGCACTAAATATAAAAAATATATATTTCATCCATCAAAGTTGTGTCATTAGACCACAATTGACAACAATGCCACAG